CCTCCCTCCCTGGCATGTCTAAAAATTTCATCTGAATATTAACTAACCTCAACAGTACTTCCTGGGCTACCATGTGAATAATATTTATTACAAGGATTATAAACCACTGTAACAGAAAGTGACTCTAAGCAGTTTCTAATTCCCATCTTTGTAAACTTAGACGAAAACAGATAATCACGACAAGTAATAAAACAGTCATAATTCAACAATTCATTGGTGGGGCAGGGAATGTAAAAACCAGGAATCTAAGGCAGGAGTTCCTGATGGCCTGATGAAATGATGGTGTTTTTATGGACTTTTGAAAAGACAGGAAGGAAGAGACAATTCAGAAGTCCAGGAGCAAGCTATTGCAGAGGAGAGATGTTTCCCCAGTTCTTGCAGATGGCAGTCCATGGGAGAAGGGACTTGATATTACGGGGCAGGCAGATAATATTGGGAGAAGGTGTTCCCACAGAGATTCAGGTCCTGCACCATTTTTAAAATATTTTAATATATTTTTACTATTGCCCACAGCAGGGTTTCTCAAACTTGGTGGCTTGAAGATGTGTGGACTTCAACTCCTAGAATTCCCCAGCCAGCAATGCTGCCTGAGGAATTGTGGGAGTTGAAGTCCACGCATCTTCAAGTTGGCCATGCTGGCTGGGGAGTGTGGGAGTTGAAGTCCAGACATCTTCAAGTCACCAAGGTTGAGAAACACTGGCCTACAGAGTTCTGATTTCCAAATGCATGATCTATTTTAAAAAAAACTGCAATCCAAAACAGATTTAAGGAAACATTTTCATATGGAGGATTATTTTTTAAAGAGGATTTTAAAAACCTTATATCGAAGCTGAAACAGAGCAAGATAGACAAGGAATGAACCATGCAAAACTGGGGACAGTCAAAACTGTCGGTTTTGGTTAAGGTTAAGGTGCAGGGCTTTTGTTTTATCACTTTATGGTTTTACTGTTTTATGATTGTTCTATAGTTTTATTGATGTTGTGAGCTGCCCAGAGTTGCTTAAGGTGGATGGCCATATAAATCTTTTAAATAAATAAACAAACAAACAAATAAATAAATACCTCTGTACTAGATAAAAATAAAATGGGGAGTGAAGAGCAGAACTGGAAAATATGGAGAAGAGAGTGGAGACCATTTGCTGGTTGCAGTGTGTCTTATAAATGACCTCAGCAAACTGATTACAGCCAGTGAGTCATCAAGCTATTTCTATGCACCTTGTAATGCAACAAGAATTTTAGCTATGCCCATCCTTACCCCCCGAGGTCTGACTAGCATGCTAGCAAGGCTATGCGCGTTGCCAAAATCCCCTTTCCCAGCCTAATTCTTGCCGCTCATCCTGCCTAACTTCCTGCCGATTTTTTTTTTTTTAAATGCCACTTGGTCTAAGTATAAAAATATCCTGAAAGAAGACAGCAGTCAACAATTTGCATGGGATTGCAAAGAAACTGTAGCCATGCGCTTCTGTGGAGTCACCAGGAACCAGGCTTTGTTCAAGGGAGTCATTGCCTTGAATAATAAATAAATTGTGGAATGAGGGAAGATTGTGGAAAGAAAAGCAAGAATATCCCCGTATTCTCCTTTCATATGTGAGATCTATGTGAGGTATTTATTAGCATGATGGAGGTGTGGTGGCATGGAAGTTCAGGAAGACATTGGTTTCCCCATAATATTACCAATAACTGGGTGATGTCATCTGACAGCATGGGGTACAGTTATAAATCTCAGCACTGGCCGGGCAGGTGATGCTGTTGCGGTCCTGTCCAAGTCTCTAGTGGCTGCAAGGGTCTGGATGGGGATGGCTTGACTTTGGCTCAACCCTGGCAAGATGGAGTGGCTTTGGGCTTTTGGCCCCTCACAGTCTGATGACTCGTCATCTTTGACTTTGGGTGGGGTTGCACTCCCCTGGACTGAGTTGGTGCGCAATTTGGGGGTCCTCCTGGACTCGTGACTTCTGCTTGATGAGCAGGTGTCAGCCATGGCTGGGGCGCCTTTGCACCATTTGTCTTGTGCACCAGTTGCACCCTTTCCCGGATTAGGAGGCCTTGCTCACAGTCACTCATGCCTTAGTCACCTCCTGGTTGGATTACTGCAATGCACTTTACATGGGGCTGCCTTGAAGACCGCTTGGAAATTACAACTGGTCAGAATGCAGCGGTGCACACAGGATTGGGCGCTCACAGGTTCGCCTGTGTTACGCCTTTATTGCGCGAGCTGCACTGGGTGCAATTCAAGGTGCTGGTTGTCACCTTTAAAGCCCTGCATGGCACGGGACCTGGCTATTTGCGGGACCGCCTCTCCCTAAGAATACCTGCCCCTCCCACTAGATCAGATGGGGTGGGCCCGCTCCGGTGAAATCTTGTCAACTAGTGGGACCTCAGAACCAGGACTTTTCCGTGGCTGCCCCTACCTGGTGGAACCCCCTGGTTATTCAACACCCCCCCCCCCCCCCACGCATTTTAGCCTTTTGGAAGGCCATTAAGACCTGGCTTTTTACGGAGGTGCTGGGATAGGATCGTATGGACAGAAAGTATGGAAGGAGGGCAAGCAGAACTTTTTGCAGGGCATCCCAAGAGGACGATTAAGGCGCAGGGTTTTTGTTTTACTGTTTTACTGTTTTATGATTGTTTTATAGTTATTGGTTTTATTGTTGTTGTGAGCCGCCCAGGGGTGCTTAAGTTGGGCGGCCATATAAATCTTTAAAAAAAGTTATTAGAAAGGTGCTTAGGAGAAAAAGAAGAAAAACCAATCTTGGGGGGGGGGGA